ATGCCAACGCAGCCACTGGGGCCTTCGGTGGAGCTCCCTATGTGGCCACGAAGCGTGTGAGGGGTGTGCCGACATGGGTGCGGCGCCGCCATGCCAACGCAGCCACTGGTGCCGTCGGTGGAGCTCACTATGGGGCCACGAGGCGTGTGATGGGTATGCCGAAACGGGCGCGGCGCCGCCATGCCACCGCAGCCACTGGGGCCTTCGGTGGAGCCCCCTATGGGACCACGAAACGTGTGAGGTGCGTGCCAAATTGGATGCGGCGCCGCCATGCCAACGCAGCCATTGAGGCCTTCGGTGGAACTCTCTTTGGGGCCACGAAACGTGTGAGGGGTGTGCCAAATTGGGTGCGGCGCCGCCATGCCAACGCAGCCACTGGGGCCTTCGGTGGAGCTCCCTATGGGGCCACGAAGCGTGTGAGGGGTGTGCCGAAATGAGTCCGGCGCCGCCATGCCAACGCAGTCACTGGGGCCTTCGGTGGGGCTCCCTATGGGGCCACGAAGCGTGTAAGGGGTGTGCCGAAATGTGTGCGGCGCCGCCATGCCAACGCAACCACTGGGGCCCTCGGTGGAGCTCTCTATGGGGCCACGAAACGTGTGAGGGGTGTGCCGTGATAGTGGGGGGAGGGAGGAGGGAGGGGGGAGGAGGCGGAGGAGGAGGAAGGAAGGAAGGAAGGAAGGAAGGAAGGAGAGGAGACGCGGGGCACCGTGTCTTCAAAACGAGGACCCAACACCACAGGATGGTTGGGAATTACCCTGGCGAAGGACCCAACCATATGCAATTGTGAATAACGCTTTGTGGGTGCCGCTTTCGGTTGGGCCCCTTATGGGGCCATGAAAGGCGTGCCACGAAACGCTGTCCTGGGCGTACGGGACGCATGAAGGCGGTAGCACTGGGGCGTTCGGTGGAGCTCCCTATGGGGCCACGAAACATGTGAGGGGTGTGCCGAAATGGGTGCGGCGCCGCCATGCGAACGCAGCCACTGGGGCCTTCGGTGGGGCCCCCTATGGGGCCACGAAGCGTCTGAGGGGTGTGCCGAAATGAGTGCGGCGCCGCCATGCCAACGCAGCCACTGGGGCCCTCGGTGGAGCTCCCTATGTGGCCACGAAACGTGTGGGGGGGTGTGCCGAAATGGGCGCGGCGCCGCCATGCCAACGCAGCCACGGGGGCCCTCGGTGGAACTCACTATGGGGCCACGAACCGTGTGAGGGGTGTGCCGAAATGGGTGCGGCGCCGCCATGCGAACGCAGCCACTGGGGCCTTCGGTGGAGCTCATATGGGGCCCCGAAACGTGTGAGGGGTGTGCCGAAATGGGTGCGGCGCCGCCATGCCAACGCAGCCACGGGGGCCTTCGGTGGAGCTCCCTATGGGGCCACGAAGCGTGTGAGGGGTGTGCCGAAATGGGTGCGGCGCCGCCATGCCAACGCAACCACTGGGGCCTTCGGTGGAGCCCCCTATGGGGCCACGAACCGTGTGAGGGGTGTGCCGAAATGGGCGCGGCGCCGCCATGCGAACGCAGCCACTGGGGCCTTCGGTGGAGCTCCCTTTGGGGCCACGAACACGAATTTGTGAGGGGTGTGCCGAAAATGGGCGCGGCGCACGCATGCGACACGCAGCCACAGGGTTCTTGAGGCCCTTCGGTGGAGCCGAACCTTTGGGGCAACGAACGTGTTGCGGGGCTGTGCCAAATTTCAGTGCGGCGCCCGCCATGCCAACGCAGCCACTGGGCCTTCGGTGGAGGCTCCCTAATGGGGCCACAAGCGTGTTGAGGGAGTGTGCCGAATATGGGTGCGGTGGGCCATGCCAACGCAGCCATGGGCCTTCGGTGGAACTCCCTATGGGGCCACGAAACGTGTGAGGGGTGTGCCGAAATGGGCGCGGCGCCGCAGCCACTGGGGCCTTCGGTGGAGCTCCCCATGGGGCCACGAAACGTGTGAGGGCTGTGCCGAAATGGGTGCGGCGCCGCCATGCCAACGCAGCCATTGGGGCCTTCGGTGGAGCTCCCTGTGGGGCCACGAAACGTGTGAGGGGTGTGCCAAATAGGGTGCGGCGCCGCCATGCCACCGCAGCCACTGGGGCCTTCGGTGGAGCTCCCTATGGGGCCACGAAGCGTGTGAGGGGTGTGCCGAAATGTGTGCGGCGCCGCCATGCCAACGCAGCCACGGGGGCCTTCGGTGGAGCTCCCTATGGGGCCACGAAACGTGTGAGGGGTGTGCCGAAATGGGTGCGGCGCCGCCATGCCAACGCAGCCACTGGGGCCTTCGGTGGAGCTCCCTATGGGGCCACGAAGCGTGTGAGGGGTGTGCCGCAATGGGTGCGGCGCCGCCATGCCAACGCAGCCGCTGGGGCCTTCGGTGGAGCTCCCTATGGGGCCACGAAGCGTGTGAGGGGTGTGCCGTGATAGTGGGAGGAGGGAGGAGGGGGGGGGATGAGGCGGAGGAGGAGGAAGGAAGGAAGGAAGGAAGGAAGGAAGGAAGGAAGGAAGGAAGGAAGGAAGAAGAGGAGACGCGGGGCACCGTCTCTTCAAAACGAAGACCCAACACCACGGGATGGTTGGGAACAGTAGTAGTAATACATCGGCCCAATGAAAGTTCCTTGAATTTTCATCCCGACGCTGGCCGGCGGAAGCCGACGGAAGTAAAACGAGGCGGAAGACGGGGGAAGGCCGTCGGAAGGCTTGCGGATGTCAGCGGAAGTAAACGACGTCCCTTCCGACCCCCTACCCCCGTAGAAGCCTAGCAACGTAGTCTTCTTCCGTGGGCCGGGCGGGATCCCGCCTGGCTTATTCCGCTTTAATATTGTAAGTTTTGTTCAGGACGATTAAAAAATCCCACCCGTAAAAAATGGGGTAGAGAAACAAATCCCGGGTCGTTCACGGATCCCGCCGTGCTGGGATCGGCTCGAACTAAAATGGGGGTCATAAGTTGCAGTATCCTTGCCATGTTGGGGCCGTCCTGAGGACATCTTGAGATCATCTCCCGGTCGCGTTTGGATCACGCCGTCGTCGCATGGTCATTATGGGGCCACCTTGGGCGCGCTTGGATCCATCTTGTTGCCATCGGGCCATCTCGGCGTCACACGTTGCTTATGTGTTTCGTCATCTGCAAGTCGGCCTGAGACGGTCCAGAATCCATGGCGGGATCGTCTTGGGGTGGCATCATCCTGGGGTCGTCTGGACGTTATCGTCCGTGGCCTGAGGCCCTCCTGGAAGCATGTGGTGGCCATGGGGCGTCTTGGGATCGAGTGGGTGGGAGCGCTGAGCACGCGCGCGCGACTTTTCATCTTGCTGACGGGTATACATACATATTCTTCCGCTTGCCAATTTCCAAGGAAACTTTTGTTGGAGTCGTAGCAGTAGTAGTAGTAGTAGTAGTAGTAGTAGTAGTAGTAGTAGTAGTAGTAGTAGTAGTAGTAGTAGTAGTAGTAGTAGTAGTAGTAGT